TTTCTCTTCTCGTTAACTTGTTACTGACATTTTTTTCTTCTTTGCGCCTTTGTGCGAGACACTACAACAATTTGCAAAGCGGCACAATAAAAAATCAGTAAAATATATCGTATTTTCCCAATCAGCGCACCCAGAATGTACGAGTCGGGACGTAGAGAGAACGTACGCAACTGTCGCGATTTCAGAGTTTTGAAGCCTTAGAAGTCAGAGTTCTCTAAAAGATGTTTCAAAACCATGATTAGAATTTTGCGCCTTATTGTTTTTATTTGCGCAGGTTTTACAATGTAAAATGTTGCCACAGTGGCGCGTCAAGCGGCGAACTTTCCAGAGAAACGCTTCATCACCTGGACTTCTTTGAATTGCGTTCAATTCCAACTGCACACGCGCTCCCGCGTGCTGACTCCACATCAATGCAGCCGAAGCTACCAGCGGGTAATCTGTGAACACCAATTTAGCAGCGCAAATCGGTGCATGGCCAATAAGCTGCATGCTGCGATGAGGGTCCATAAAACCTTACTAATCAATCATCGGCGGTGGGTGGGACAGGACAGCGGTTCATCCTCCGTTCGCCCGAAGGCAACTGCCGGGGTCAATGTAATGAAGTTTATTGATTCATTCATTCAGAAACAATAACCAAAAAGGAATGATTCATACATACCACACATATCGCGAAACAAAATTTAGTCACTTGCTGGTGATGCGTCAGCATAATGCTAGGCGTATTACTATGCATATTTATAATGCATATAAGCCATATCTGGTCATTGTGAGACCCAGTGAGATGCACGACTTTATGGATTAAAATTCTGTCAATTTAAGCAGACGAGGAGCGACGCGACTTCAGTGAAATGCAGATACAGTTTGATAGATTGATATGTGGGGTTGAATGTCCCAAAACCACCATATGATTACGGAAGACGCCATAGTGGAGGACTCCGGAAATTTCGACCACCTGGGGTTCTTTAACGTGCACCCAAATCTGAGCACACGGGCCTACAACATTTCCGCCTCCATCAGAAATGCAGCCACCGCAGCCGGGATTCGATCCCGCGACCTGCGGGTCAGCAGCCGAGTACCTTAGCTAATAGACAAGTGCAGCGGGGCTGCAGTTACAGTTGACCTATAGGGATGGTGGCAAGTTTTAGCGATAAAGTAATAAGTGTTATTGTTTTACATTAGAAAACCACGATATAAATACGAGTGAAGCCGTATAACAGAGAGCTCCAGAAATGTTGACTACCTGGTGGTTAATGCGTGTTACAGAGAAAACGAAGGAAAAGCAGACGCGGACAAGGCGCACTCGCCGTCTGCATGTCGTCCGTGTCCTCTAACGCGCAATGTACATCGATCATGAATCACCAACTGGCCCAATCGTATACCCTTTGACCTGGAGTTCATATAACGTGCACTTTCATTAAACCGACCAATTTCAAGCATTTTTACTACTACATCGAAATCTGAACGCTATGGTCGAGATTCTGTCCAGCGACATTCGAGTCAGCCGCTAGACCACTGCGGCTGCTATTTTAGGACTACAAATCTGGTTGTCAGGACACATCGCACTTCAGAAAAGACTTCTCCATGCACGGGAGCCAAGATGCGGTGTAAAACGGAACTGGTGCGCCATATTTCGAAGGTTTTATGCAAAAAAGCACAATATAGGCGCTCGTTCAGAAAACCATGTGGTCAGTGAGTCGGCGTGACGCAGTAAGGCATTCTCAAGCGCTTATATTGACCATGCAATTGAGTAAGGATCAAAGTTGGTTTTGTGAGTCGCAAGTGACAAGATCCTCAAGTTAATGGCGAACTTTTTTGACCACACTGAAGACAAAAAGAAAGATTTTTTAGGTAATCACCAATCAGAGCAGAAATAACGTTGAGTTTCAAATTGAATATTTACTACAAATATTCCTGACATTTAGCTTTGAGCACTTATTACTTTATCTACGTTATAAGAAAAAAAACGATTCAAGTAAAAACAAGTGACGCGTTCATTTACATGCATTATATCTAGTTAATGTAATCACGTACATTCGCACGTATCCTTCAAACATTCAAACGAAAAAAAAACTGGTAATTGAAGCCAACACCAAAGAGAGTTGTTAAATAACGAAAAATATTCAAACCTTTAAAGCTCGATCGGTTGCGATTCTTTCTACGCGCAGACACCAACGATGGAAGCATGAGTAACGATGATGACGATTTAAACCGTGCCTAAATATATGCAGCTTTAATGAACAGATAAAATAAATAGCATGTTAAGCTTTCACAACCTGGTCGACTAGACTAAGCAAAACTAGTTTCTTCCGGTGCTCCGACTGCTGACGTCGGCATGCGCACATATACGGGCGTACCGACGATGATAAACGTACATGACGGCACTTGAACACCATGCCGTGCTAACAAACTTATCACCCGCGTTCCGCTGGACGCAGAACAATGGCTATAGTCTATCTCTTGTTGCTCGAATCAATGTTTGCGCGGGAGAATCGCCGCTCTTCGAACGGCGAGAGTTCTTCACCATTACTGCAGCTCCAATGGTGGACTAAGCTGAGGGAACCGTATGAATCAATCAAGAGTTCTAAAACGAGAAGGTTGGTGCCGCGGCCGTGGTAGTCGGTTTCCCTGTACACAGCTAACGACGGCGATACTAAGTGTCAATGGCGATTCGCTTAAAACACAGCTCCTACCTTGCTGCGCACTTTTCACAAAGTTGCTAGTCGCTTTCAATCCTTCGTGTAATGCAGAAAGTAGTTTGCAACCTCTTGAGAACTGAGAACTTCTTTGCTTTCTCCAATGTCACAAATTTTCCTCATTGGTTCTGTCTGCCTGCCTGCCTGCCTGTCTGTCTGTCTGTCTCTCTCTCTCTCTCTCTCTCTCTCTCTCTCTCTCTCTCTCTATATATATATATATATATATATATATATATATATATATATATATATATATATATATATATATATATATATATATATATGCCACGAGGTCCAGTGATCCAGAAGGCAAGACTGCGTTTCTTGAATGTTATGTTACAGGTATTCGCAATGACTAAACGAAAGGGCAAACCATCGTCGAGAAATGGCGCCATCAGCTTCTTTATTTATTGTTATTTCCTCTCGCACAGCTGAGCTGAGTTATTCATATCGTTTTAGAGTCCTGTTTAGGTTTTGTCTGCTTTGTTTTTTTTTTTTGCTTTTTTGCACCCGTTTAAAACTCTCTGCATTCCCCTCCCCGTTTTTTTCTCGCTTTCTATCTATCGCTTCTACGATCTCGGATAACCGGAAATGATTACGAACGTTCATTGCAGTGTACCCTTCTAACATTCATTGTCTTTCTTAAAATGAATCGCAGGTGAATGCGCCGAAATCCAGTCACGAAACCAGATCGGTAGAGCTAAGGCCATTGAATCAAGCAAGCGAGCTGCCTTTTTTCGCTTGGAAGATCACTCGAAACCAAGCATCATGCGGATGGTCTTTCGCTGCGACAGCGAAGCCCTCGACGTACAAAATAAACAAAAAAAGTTGACCTCAGACTCGGGGCTTTAATTAAGCCGTTGAGCCGCCGCACCAAATCACTCGGGGTCTCCATAGTAGTATTAAAAGCGCAGGTTGCGCTGACCTAATGAAAACACGCGATCCCGATACCATTGAGATAAGGGAACAGAAGGGAGAAATAACAGACTCAAGATAGCAATGCGACTCGTTAAATTAATTACTGCCGTCAAAAGATCTCGGTTCTGCTTCAGTAGCACCAGTACCGCTATCATTGCCTCTAGCACGGTTAGTAAGAGAACAAGGCCTGCATCGTATGAACCCTGATATTCTCTGTCTTGAACAACAATGAATATGTGGTCTCAACTTTAATGTTCACACAAAGCGAGCGTACGATAGTGGGAGCGGGATGAATGAGAAGCACGGCATACCCGTGTATTATTATTACAGGGTAGCGAAATGAATGCACCTCCGAAATCATTGAGCGATGATGTCACTTTTCTAAACCTTACGTTATATATGCGTTTTCTGGCGAATACCTCTTAGTTCTAACTACATGATGATGCAGTAGGCGGTATAAACAGATCACTGTGTGGCATGCCCTTTTTTTTAAGCTAGACACAGATCTATTTCCGCCCCTGAGTGGTTTGCGCTGCACTGACCTCACGACCTAGTTGCGTGGCAGCATCGTTGGCGATAACAAGATAACACTCTATTGTTATCTGACAACATTACAAATTCTTCCTCAAGTTTTGCGCCTGAACTTACAATGAAGCTCAACGACTTGGAGAGTGGCCTCCCCGGTTTCAGAGCGCTTCAGGTTTTGCCCGAGCGTTTGCACCAAATGTTTTTACTTGCGCACCCAAAAATGCTGTAAAGCCGAAACCGGCAGGTTAAACAGCTAGTATACACTGCACTGGACACGCAGAACTCGATTGACACAGAGCTTGCCACGAGATACTTCACGAAGTGTATAGTCTTTCGATAGAGCAATTCACAAACTCTGAAAATTTTGTCAAGTTCTGTACATCTATAATATTAAACTTACTATTTATTGACATTTGGTGGTGTACTGAGTACCTGCAGATTGATATGTAGGTAGGCTCAACTAGAAGACGGACACTTGATCTAATTGAGCTGTATTCCCCTAGTTGGAGAAGGTGTTCAAAGAACACTGGCACCTGTACCATTGTTCATTTCTTTCGCTAACATGTTTTTTGATCGTCTCGGCCAAGAAGGAGGCTACAGTGAAGCCGGCTATTTGAAAATAGCCGGCTCCAAGGAAATGAAGCCTACGTGATCTGGGAATGTAGAACGCGACTGACACAGTCCCTGCCAACGATACCGTTATGTTTGGGGCACGCGAAGGATGGCCAGTCGGTAGACGGCGCCCGACGAAAAGGGAAGTTAATTAAAAGAGGCTGCCCAGACGCGGCATCCCAATCTTAACTGATACTACTGAGACTAACTAAACCAAATTGACGCAGAAAAAAACGACAACAGACTCACGTATAGTTCCGGCTTTAGGGTGCGACTCGAAGATCATCACCCCGTAGAGTTCGCGCTTGACGCTGTTGGAGAGGTGCGAAAGGGCCTTGATGTGAAGCAGCTCTTCGTAGATAAGGTCCAGATCGTCGAGGGTCCTCTCCATGGGCCTGCATGGCGATGAATCCATCTGAGCGCAGCTCTCGGCTACCGCCTTTTCTATGGAAACGGTCATCGCGTTTCACTATAGCGCTGCGTCTCTCTACACATTCAAAAATTCCGAGTGGACATTAGTGGTGCACAGAGTCTCGTATATTCCCGACGGGTACTTCGTTTAGTGTAAACGGACACGATGACAATCTCCGCTGCATAATCGCGACAGTAGGCATGTCCTTCCAGAAAATAGCCCCAGCACTGCGGTGACTATAGCGTACACGTGTGTATCTGTTACACGGATCCGCAAAGTGGCGGCACTCGGTACACACAGGTGTCGCGCGCAAGCATACGTTCGCTTGTGTACGTGCGAGGCGTGTGGCGAGATTGCGTTATCTCTACAATCGTGTCGTCCTCGCACGCGGGGGAGCTCTGTGATTCTTATCGTTTTCTTTCTTAGACCGCACTTTGTTCGCCGCACCAGCTAGCCTGACAACACGGCAGCCGATAGTAATTATCATCGCTTATCGCGCCGTACTCTAACGGCACTGACGCCAGCCCAACGACCGTGTAGTATGGAGGCGGCTTCTGTGTCGCAGACCTTACAGAGGGCTTCGTAACAGGCTCGTGTTCGAATGGAAAAGCAAGACTCTGTTCATCAAGACACTGTCGTTTAACTCTTCCGCCAAATTATGACGGTCCCCAAGCAATCGCAGGATTACCTGAACATATGACGCCCATCACGTATATGACCTTTTTCTAACGGTATGACGTAACCGATTGACTTAGTAAAGCTTCTTGCATATTCAGCAATAGTGCACCAAATAAATTGCGCCATATGCCGGGCTACCTTATGAAACGCCACCTTTTCACGGAAATAAGACTAAGGAAAAGTTGCTTTAGGCATATTGTTGGTTTCTGAAACGTGTTGCCCAGAGGTAAGGAGGAAAAAAAATCACGCATATCAACGAAGTGAATGCTTATGATGCGGCAAAGCAACGTGCATGGGATCGTGAATTGTGACCTTCTATTTTGTTCTGGTTAACAGCGTTTTATTTTGTTCTTCTTAAACTTTGTTCTATCATATGCTTTGATTGATGCGTGGTTAAATGTCGGTGTTGTGGGCATTTATTTTATTCGGGTTAACAGCCTTTTGATAACATTTTTGTTCGCAGATGTTTCAGTTTCTACATATGCTGTAAACGCTGGACAGCGGTTTAAGGACAGAGGTACATCGTGCCGTCTGTCTTAAGGTGTTTTGCCCCTAAAAATTGCAAAGCTGGTTCGCAAGGAAAGGCTTCGGACATCGAGCTTGCTCCACACGTGCCTTGTGGACTTCGCCGCGACCACACTGCTATAATCGTGTGTCATTGTATTGCTTTTCAATTTTAAGCCTCAATGCCCCAAATAACTTCAATAGAAACCATGCCACGATTCTTAGCTGGAGCAATCGCTATCGTCGTGACCAACGATTCATGACTGCATTTACAAAGTAAAAACACTTGCTGTCACACCGCACAAGAGTTTACATTCACGGTGAAGAATATGGGCAAGCAAGGGCGTCAGATGTGCTTGTGAGAAGCGGCGGAAGCTTGCAGATATTATTCCAGTTCACTAAAAACTACAGCGAACTATTAAATGAAAGCCGTATTTTCTTTCCTAGGCTGACTGATTCTGTATGGGTAGCCGATCTACCTCCAGATGTGAATTCACGAACACCCGCATGCACGGTAACCATTAGTGACGTCAGCGTAGCGCTGATGTACACCAATTAAACATAAATAAGCGTGAACGTCATTAGAGACTTATATACGCGATGCGTAAGTGTAGAGTTTTATTGTTAGTACGTTTTATGTTTCTCTAACACGCGTTTCAGAATAACGTCCGTATGGCGTCTGCTTCCTGGCTCCCGTCAGTATTTCCACCGGCCCCACGGCACGTGCATCTTGCCACGAGTTTATGGCATAAAAATTTGCATAAACTTCACCTATTTTGAATTTGCCTGAAGCGTACAGTCCCCTCTGCCGATTGTGCATCTTGTGTACTTGAGAGCTTTTAAGGGAATTTTATTCAATCTCCACTAAATTCAGTTAAGCCTTCAAAGAGCGTGCTATCTTATTACATTTATTTAGTATAACTTACTCGACTGAGAAAGTCAAGCTAGCCCCGCCACGGTGGTCTGGTAGCTAAGGTACTTGGCTACTGACCCGCTGGTCACAGGATCGAATACCGGCTGCGGGGACTGCATTTTCGATGGAGGCGATATTGCTGTAGGCCCATGTACTCCGATTTGCGTGCAGGTTAAAGAACCCCAGGTGATCCGAATTTCCGGAGCCCTCTGCTACGGCATCTCTCATAATTATATGGTAGTTTCGGCACGTTAAACCCCACTTATCTATGTATCTATAGAGAAACTCAACCTAAATTTCTGTGCATGTCCCTCACACCTGGGATAGTTTTGTCTCTCAAGTAGTGTGATCTCTCATGGTACAACTCAATGCAACACCAAGCTCGCAGCAAGCTTTTGTCTCCAAGTTCTACTGGTTCTTACGGATATCATCAATTACAAATGGTGCAGCAAGCGTCCAAAAGTTCTTATTGGAACTCAGACTGGTATCAAATATCGGTCAATTTTTCGCTTTATTTTCGTTGCGGTACTTTCTCACGCGCAGGGTGAAACTTTACTACGCGCGGGCAACACTCACGGCTTCCGCAGTATCATGCGCAGCACGGCGTCCGGCGTGAGCTGCATGAGCAGCAGGAGCACGTCCTGCAGCTCCTCCTCGGCCTGCGCTCGGTCTTCGGACGTGGGCAACTTGGTGGGCTCCTCCTCGTCCTCGCGAAACCGGTAGAACATGTACTTGTCCTTGAACTGGTGCTCGCGCGTCACTGCACGAGTTTCAAACGATAGGCGCATTTTCGCTTGAATGTGTTCAAAGCTGTTTGAATTTCTAAGGGGAAGACCAACACCAGTGACAGGGGCAGCGGGAAGTCAGGGAGCGCCTAAATCACTGAGCTAATTCTAGCTTGAAATGCTGATGTGTGAGGCAGCTAGCCGACGAAGACAAGACACAAACGGAAGAAACGATTCGACAGGACCAAGACTAGTGACTACTTTCTTTTGAAAAGAAAAACTGACACGTGGTGAACACACATCCACACCAGCATGCCAGCCGAAACGACAACATTAATGAAGTCTCCAAAAGCTATGTGCATTTACACGGGGAAGTCCAACATCAGTAACAAGGTCAACGGGAACTTCAGGTGCAGCTAAATATAGCAGTGAAACTGATAGCTGGGCGAGTTGGAATGAATTCATGCGTAAAAAGTTTTGTTGGGCGCACAAAATACGGGGACGCACAGATAGAAGGTACAAACAAGACCTTATTCATGTGTGTCTCTGTCTTATTGTGCGGGCAGCAAAAAAAAATTATAAGCACCTAAATTCCTGCACTAAGTCCCGCTCGAGAAGATGATGTATAAAGCACAACGGCATAAAAGAAAAAAAACAATTCGACAGGACCAAAAATCACGACCGTTTTTTTTTTTACATTTCGTTCAACCAGTTTCGTTCGGAACCGATTGTGTCGCATTTGCCTTAAGGCGTCTACAAATATACACATACGCGCTCGCACGCCAGGCGTAAGAATTACTGCCGCTGACACAAATTTGGTGCCTTTTACGTTGATCTTCATAAAGCAACTTCGCAATCCCATTCTACAACTAATGCTCTGCTGATACAACTGTTTTCGTTTATTGATATGGAAATCTTTCATGATTTCTCTGGTTTGTCGATCTTCATGATTTGGAAGTATACATTTCTGCTACAACGAAAAGCGGTATGTATGTTTTTTTCTAAGCGATCTTACTACACAACATTCGCTTGCATTGCCGTAAGCTATCATTTAGCCAAAAATTTAGTCCTTGTAATCTGCGTTCCTTCCGTCCTCGTCTCTAGCGCTCCGTCAACCATGCAAGCATTCCAACTCACCCAACATTCCATTCTAGAACAATTTAGCCAACTTTCCCCTCCACTGGTCATAGATAGCCTGCAGTGGTATCACTCATCCTGCGCTCAAGCACCAATGGCACCTACCATGACTATTCTAGCCATCAGTATTCTAGGCAATTAAACATGCGAGGATGCAGCCCCAGAATACATTGTCAACAAACACAAAACAAAAATACGCGGTGAAGGAAAGCTGAAGAAAAGCGTCATCCACAATAATGTTTTTTGCCATTACTAATTACCTACGCCTATATGCGAACCCGAAAAAAAAGTGCAAAATCACCGCACGTATATACACTCCTGAATGCGAAACTTCGAAGCGTCGCCAGCAACCGTAGTGTGGGCCAACATGTTCTGACTTGAACGATCAGCGCGGGGCCTGCAACGACGGGATTTCTGGGAACGGGAATGGTCCGCATGGACATTTAGCATTTATGAAAAAAAAATCTCCTGAAGAGGTACGGTCCATTAGAAAGGCAAGGAAACGCTCGGTTGAAAAGCACACGATTGCTGGCCGCAAGCGCAGAGAACGGACGGTTCCAAAAAAAAAAAAACAAATCAAATTTCTCAATTCGCTAGCACCAGCAATTCCATTCGCGTACCAAATTGTCACGAGCAAATCGCATTTGGAAACCTATTACGAAATCGCTTTCGCGCTTCCAGACACCATTACAAAGTAGGTGGCACAGGATATGCGAAGCGCTGTTTCGAACTCATTGGACTTAAGAAAACATGCCCTAATATGCAATATACACGAGCAATATGGTCGCTTTCCGAGCTCAGAATGCTACAACCAATCAATTCCGTCGCTAGGTAAAGAGCACAGGCTTGCTCGCGCAAACAACACATAATTTAGTTGGCTAACTCAATTATATCGCAATCATTATTGAACTAGAATATTAATGTCTTGTAATCGGTGTCTGCTTAAGGTGCCCCTGTCTTGACGTGTACATTATATTTCAGGTTTTCTTTGGATAAAGTTACTCGGAAAATTGTTCCAGCTCGTGCATGGGGTTTGACATCCCATGGTGACACAGGTTATAAAGCTACCGTACAGGAAGACCACCCGGATTTTTTTTTAACGTGCACTGATATCATACAGTAGACGCGCTTCCCGCATTTCGGCTCTACCGAAAGACGACCGTCGCGGCCGGGGTCGAATCCGACACATTCTGGTCCTTAGCCGAGCATCATAACCACTGCACCATCGTGGTAAATAAAAAGATCAGTTTTAGGAATTTCATCAGATGCATGCGTGCACAACTACAACGCAGCTAGAGCTCAATCGACCAGTTGCTTTCTCTGAGCATGGATGCGCGTCCACTTAGGCGTCTAGCCAACCCAGGACGGAACACGATACATCACCGGGACGCTTGGCCATTTGTGTACGTCGCCGAGTCATCGCTTCTCGTGTTGTCAGGTCAATTGCGGGCTATACGGGTAAAAACAGTTCGTTGCGAAGAGCGTGCCCACACTGGGCTTTCTTTCTTCATAGATTAACATACTGTCATGTTAAGCGCACACTTAAAACGCACCCAGATCTGAAAGAAAAGTGCGTTCTATTCGCGACAAAATCAGCTGGTGCACTGTCACTTCAGAAGCTCGGGGCTGGTAGGGGATATCAAGCGTGTTCCTCCACCCCACCCGAAAGTTTTAGCTTTTGGGAGTCTATGCATACACGCACACATAAAAACGCGCACACAAACGTGCAGAGATCAAAGTTGACCACCTCCCGCCCGAACCTTAATAAACATTTCTGGGTATACGCTTCAACCCTGTGACACCTTCTTAAACGCACCTGCCTGCATACTGCACTTGTGGTATTGTCCTGGATGTTACGGTTCGCGCTTCACACCATATACATTTTTACAGTTTCCTTTATTCAGCACTGTGTGAAATTCCAGAGGCCCGTGTGTTTGTCATACCTGCGAGTCGCACCCTTACTTTATTTCTCTGGTTTTTTTTTTCTATTTACTATCACATGGCAACGCTACCGTTATGCGATTATCAGAGAGAGAGAGAGAGAGAGAGAGAGATAAATAGAGAGGAAAGGCAGGGAGGTTAACCAAGCTTGGCTCGGTTGGCTACCCTACACTTGGGGTGGGGAAAAAGGGGAATAATAGAACGGAAAGAGACAGAAAAGAAAAGGAGTAAGAAAGAGAAGCATAAATAGTCAGCTCGAGACTACACAGCACGGCCTCGCACAGTTCTTTCACAAGCTTGGTGGTAATTATCACAATTAACGGAGAAATATTTTATGTGGATCGGAAAAGCTGGGGCCACACGAGTACTGACTCGCGATACGTAACAATTAATAAAAATGCCCGGATAAATGTCGATTCGGTAATTTTTAGTGAACCTGGGCAGTTTCAAAGCAACGCAACTTTTACTGAGGTTATAAATAGCTGCAAGCTTTGACGCCTTTATGGCGGCAAAACTATTCCTTCTCGCTTAGCAAACTAAACACACAATACTAAACAATAAAACAAACAGAAAAATTCGCGAAATATGCAGTACAGTGCAACATAAATAGTGCAAACACGTTAAATTTCAACAGCACTAGAGTCACAAACATTCTGGCACGACCTCCGAAGAGCAATATAATCTATTCACATGTTTACATATACAAATTAGTATGTTCTGTATGGCTTGACACAAAGCGATTTTTTTCGTTCATCCATTTACACTACGATCCAACCGCAAGCAAGTCAGAAATACTTGAGCACGAGATCAGGTAAGCAATGTGCGGGTACTACTAGTGCAAATTCATATGTTTTGTACACAGCAGTCTTTCTGGCCATCCCGTTCAGTGCACCGCCTTGATAGCGCAACAATGCAATGGAGCGACGACGTAGTAGTATAGCGTGTTGCGTACACAGAGTATACCGCCACATTCAAACAAGAAGCGTGATCTAGCTCACCGTGGTTGATAGCTCCTTCTTCGAGTAGGACCTGCCACATGCCGGCTGCCTGTGCGCGCGAGTTAAGGCGCACGTGGGTGGCCGGCACCTGGAGCAGCCAGTCGACCATCTCGGTGCCCACCATGCATCGCTTGAAGTGGCGCATGTGGTACTTGCGGTCGCGCACCAGCTGGGGCGCCTGGAACAGCAGCAGCGTGCGCAGAACCCATCCCGCCCGGTGCACCTGGGCCGTCGGCTGCGCAGCGAGACAGCAAAAGCGCGCGGTGAAGCTACACGTAGGTCCTAGGTAGAGTACCTGTTTGCTCTTTTTTTTTTTTCTTATACACAATCATGGCCAGAGGACTGCCCGCGCCAGTCTTTTATTTTGCATTCACGTGATATGAGGAAATTTTGGCGCATAAATCAGGAACCGCCTACAGTGCAGGTCATAGAGGGGCCCAAAATAAATATACGGGGTACAAAACTAAGAAAAAAATCAGTAAACATAGGTTGTGTCGAGCGGACGTGTCTTCCTCAAAGCTAGAACAGAACAGAAACGAAAGATAAAACAGAGTTTTCCCGGAAACAGCCGAACGTAACAAATCCACAGCAAATTCAATCTAATATTTTAATGGTGCCATTACTCTCCAATATGACGTCTTAAATGTGAAAAAACAAAGAGAAATGTCATCTTACATGGATTTCTAAAGTGAGCAGCTGGCTTAATGTGGAATTATGCCATAGAGATTGTTAGCTGCAGCACCAAAGTTTTCGCAAATATCTTTGTAAACATTTACATTGTGTTCATTAGCAGTTTATTGATTGGTTGGTTGATTAATTGATTGATAAATATGTAACAGGAGGCTAACTTGGAGTAGATGACGTCAGAGTAAGCTACAAAGGGATTTCACCATTGCATCATCACTTGCTTTAGGTTTCCGTTTCTACGCAGACTTACGGCATCGTCTATTGCGACAGGAGTAGCTAATCATCTCTTTTATTGATTCATAACGGCAGCTCCCTTTTCATCCTTCTGTTTGTGTGTTTAGCTGTTCTGTTGTAAGCTTGATACGTTCAATAATTAAGGAGTGGCCAGCGCCACATTTTCGCGCCGACATCTCTGAATGATGAAAAAAAAAAACGCAGCCCAGATTATTCTTAATCTCCAATAACGCACCATGTAGGTGTCCGAAATTATTTTGCAGCACCTTCCCATTGTATTCTCATTTATTCTACGCGGTGTTAGGCGCATATCGACCCCACGGACGGCTCAGTAAGAATATCATCTGAGGCGATTTTTCCGCCGCCTGTCTGGCTGCGAAGCGCATCCAGACGACGGACGAAGCGATTATACGGACGCGCCGGAGAAAAAAAAAGATGGCAGCGCTGTCTGAAGCGAGAGCTGGCCGCTACGAATCTTCAATCACTTCATCGTACGTTGCGTGAGCTTGTTATATAGCGCATATATTTCCAACCTGACGACTGTATTCGCTTTAGGTTTGTGTCCGGAAGCTTCACCAGCAACGTATTCAAGACGATTTATCACCGTTCATGAGAGCGGTGCTCGTTTTCTGAAAGCCATAGGTTTAGCGAATGTCTCTATTGGCAGAACATGAGCTTGGTGAATTGCAATCGCCCGAGTGCTACCAATTCTAAAAGGAACGGCGAAAAAAAAACGCATGAGAAAAACAAGTTGTGCTGTTTGCCAGATCAATGTTGACACTCGGCTAAATGTGCTGCTTTAGTCCGCAGAAATCGGAGTGCGAAAAACAGCTTGGTAATTTCTGTCCACGAGGTCTGCGGATGGGGCACGGATGGCAAAAGTCCGTGGCACGGGGTGACGTGATGCACCGTCCGCCGCAGAAAAGACGGATTTAGTCCGTCATGCTGAATAAAAAATTAAAATAATTAACATAAAATTGTATTTTCAGATATATTAGAGCTTCGCCGCAAAGGCGATGCAATAAACGAAATAGCAACAAGCTAGGTCACGCGCAGAATGGCAAGCAGATCGAAACGTGTCGCGCGTTTGTCGCGCACAAATGACGCACGAAACGTACTCACAGGTACAGAATAACGTGAATAAGCATCTCAGTTGCTACTTTGCTGTGTCTGAAAAGCACGCCTTTTTCGCAAACAGACTGTGCAACGATTGCGGTGACCTTTGTGCACCCGGTGGCTACAACAGAATCGTTCCGGTGATAGGCCAAGCCCAGCCAAGACGTACGATCCTTCTCACAGCGAGATAAAAGCGCGCAAGTGAGCGTCCTCCTCTCTCCTTTCCGCGGGGCAAAGTACGCGCGGGAGTTGAGAGCGCGCACCGCCACGTCGTGACAATGTGCCGACGCGCCCTCATTGCGCCACCTTGCTGATAATGCTGAAAACACGATAGGTAACCCCGAGATGCCCGTCACCAGCGTTAAGCGGTAGATATAAATAGCCTGCCGTTTGAACGTTGAAGGAGGCGCTCCTTCATAGTTCAGTGCTTCGCCTCACGATTCAGACGTCCCACATTCGATTCCGCGCGCCGGAGTCTTTTTCACTGCTTTTTATAATATTTGGGGTTTAACGTTCCGAAACCACCATATGATTATAAGAGACGCCGTAGTGGAGGGCTCCAGACATTTTGATCACCTGGGGTTTTTAACGTGCGGCCAAATCTGAGCACACGGGCTTAAACTATTTCCGCCTCCATCGGAAATGCAGCCGCCGCAGCCGGGATTCGAGCCCACGACCTGCGGGTCAGCAGCCGATTACGTTAGTCACTAGACCACCACGGTGGCGCTTTTTTTTACTGCTTTTCTTTCTTGCGTTTTCATACATATGCATACGTACACATATACGGTAATCCATCTGAGAGTGTCCATCTGAGAGTGTCCATCTGAGAGTGTCCATCTGAAAATTCATCTGAGAGTGCCCATTTCAAAATTTATCTGAGAGTGTCCAAGTACTTGCTATCTCAATAAAATAGAGCGAATGAGATAAAACTCAGTGGATCTTCCGGAGCAAGCAATATCGGACCAAGTCACCTGTGCTTTACAGCGACACACGAGCGCGGTTTCGTTTCCGTTCGAACCGATCACGGCACGTGAGTCAGCTCTGGACTTAAAAAGGAAGAAAATAAAAAGTTCGATGTGTTTTCACTGTGATATCAAGAATTCTGACTCCACCATACGTGCTTTTTCTGGCAAAGTAGCGCGTTTGACCGAGAGTTTCGTGCGACTTTTGGGAGAAAAAGATCGTGAGAACCATATTTTTGGCACGTTTTAATGATCGTTTCCTTCGCGCACAATTCTGCAATCAAATAAACAATCAATGAATCAATCAATTCATCAACCATTTCTTTAATTTTTAAACGTGCCCAGGAACGACCATAACACCTTTATGCGGGCGCACACGAATATAAAACAATAAAATAAGCATTACAATACAGATAGATTTCTGAAAAAGAAATCAATTGAAAAGTGTAAAAACGCACAGAAAAAAATCAAAACAAATTTTGAAGAATACAAAAACAAAACGAGAACCATGGAATGTGAGTGAAAGTTTACGTGAATAATAATAATAATAATAATAATAATAATAATAATAATAATAATAATAATAATAATAATAATAATAATGACCGTACACGAAGCAGTAGAAGAGTGTTTATTGAGCATACGCACCATACTAAACGCGTGAACATTTTTGTTGACCCGATTATAGCTAGAGTATCATATAAGAGGTGGTCTCTGTCACGAGTTTTTTTGTATTTTTGTGCTGATATAGCATTTGAATATGAGTATGTCATTGTTACAATGCGTCAACGAAAAGATACCTCAATCGAGAGTGCCTTAAATCGTGTGGTTGATCTGCCCTGCTGCGCGAACATTTCCGTCGCACGTATGCTGACAATGAGCATGAAATCATGTGATTGTTGTTCCATATGCTTTATTTAGTTTTGGTAACTTTATGATGCGAGCTGTCATGTAAGAAAAGGGTACCTCGCATCACAAGCAGGCACCAAATTCTACTTGAATATTTTTACTCAAAGAGAACACACGGCGCTCTAACTCACATACCTAAAGGATTTTTGCTTGCTTTCTCAGTTACCTACGCAGCTTTCAGAAACATTACTCGAATTTAATATAGTGGAAAATATCGTCTTACAGAATGTCCTCTGGCACAATGTTTGCGTCGCAGGAGCACGGTCGACGCTTGGATAGTTTGCGTGCGTCTTAAGAAGCATATTTCAGGCGCATCTCATTTCACGTTAACCGCTGGCAGGAGCACAAACCGAGTTCATTCTATCAAGGAACTCCGTTCACACCCATCAAAACAAATTTATATCCGTATGGTAGCACCACTACAAATATCGATAATAAACTTGAATCATGGGAAACACAACACGCCAAAATAACTATTATTATTATTATTATTATTATTAAAAAGGCGACGAAGACGAAGACTGTAATAATATTATTATTATTGTGCTTATTAGAACCTTGCTCCTTTTGCTGCAGCGATGTCTCTCGTCATTGTGCCGGTGTGTACGCTAGTGCTCATTGCTACCGCTAGAGGCGCAGCTGTGCTCTTACTTTCAAGAGCACTCACTAGATGGCACGCCGCCCCTCATGCGACGCTCGCTCCACTCCCGACGCGTGCTCTAGTATGGTAGGAGACCGCTAGATGGCCGCGCCTATAGATAGCGCTCGCTCTCGGCGCGCTTCCTCTCTCTTTCTTCGGGCATCACTCAGTGCGCGTCGATGCCGCTACCCACTACGAACACCGCAGAAGCCAAGGTGGCTGCGCGGAAGGCTCGCAATGCGGCTGCAGCGCGGGCTCGCCGTCAAGACCCTTCTCGGACTTTCCACTACATCTTATATTTCAAGATCCTCTGGCTTTGTACTTTACAGATCACAAAGACATTATACGAAGAGGATAACGTTCCTCCGAGCTTATGTGATCCATAAATAAGTTCTTGAGCAAACTGTATATACTGCATCAGTATGTAAATATCTGTACATAGTACAGTGATATGTAACAAATAAGTCCTGTGTATATAGCGTGTATATGCAATCACACCATGACACCTCTAGTGTCACGTCTTCATATGATGATGATTGAGCATATGTACAGAGCATTCCTGCTTTACTGGATTTCCCCTCCGGAACAAGTTCCTTCATCATCATTCACCTCGTGGATATGTCAGAATCTTTTATTACACCTCCACCCCCCCGTAGAGTGATTCGGGACCTATTTGTTATGACTAAT